CGCAAGGAGACGGAGTTGAAGGATCACCTGATCACGCTCAAGGAGAAGGAGCTGGCGGAGAGACAAGAGGTGCGGGAGCTGGAAGCTGAACGCCGCCGACGAGAACGAGAAGAAGACCGCGATGAAGCAGCTCGAGCCCGCCGAGAGGCAAACGAGCAAATGCTCCGCCTTGTCAGCGTGATAGGTGATGCTGTACTTGCAATTGTGAAAGCAAATAAAAAATGTGATTGAAAGGGATACACAAATGACGTTTATTTAGCGAGGTTTGACGTTCTCTTAGCTAGGTATGCATCTAGCGAGGGTGGTGCCCAGCCGAAGAAGGCACTAATTTGGTTGCCTCCATTATAGCAGCAGTGACAGTTTGTGAGCAACATGCTCACAAGCACATACTTACCAATGGGACTCAGTCGCAGACGGAGAGACTTGTTAAAGCCGATAAATGCCCACAATGATTTCATGCTACCAAATTGCCATTCAACAGATTCTCGGACAGAGCTCATGAGCTTATTGAAGCGCTGCTCGGTATCCGTCGGCGCCGTTTTTCGAAAACCTGACACTAGAAACTTGCGTATTCCATAAGCCGGATCCCCGTAGAGAACGTACCCATCGAATATGGAGGCTCGCTCCTCCATATACTTCATAAGTTTGCTCTCACGCAGCAGCGTGCTGTCATGCCGCCGACCCTCCATCGGCCCCCAGAAATGCAGGGCTAACCCATCGGGGGCGACCACTGCTTGGTAGTTGAGGCAATGAGCGCGCTTGTGGCCCGAATACACCTGCTTCTGAAGGTTTTCTCCGCGCCCAGGGCGAGACGAGGGCCGGCAAATGCGGTTCTTGGTGCCGTCTATGAAAGCAAAAACGTTCTTCATAGGCGACCCGGTGCGGTGCACGGCATCTGCATATGCACGGATGCGCTCGGCCACGATTGCTTCATGGCAGTAGATAGTATCCTCGTATCTATCATACAAGTACATTACTGTAGGAGAGTTAGTCAACTAATTTCACTGCTCATGCGTCCTTGCTCATCACGTACCGACGTGCATGAAAATACGGCACAGGGCGCTTGTGGAGCGCCCAAATCTGTGAATCATATCGTAATGGCGCTTGGGGTAGCTCAAGCGATGGAGCAAGATGCACACTGCCTCAGTGGCGTGCGCCTTATCGCGCGAACCCGTGATCACGAACTCCGGAAGAGCGAAGAGCTCCGTTAGGCGGATGACGCCGGCGACATCAAAGCGAAACTGCTGCCTACAGTCCTCGTCCGATAGAGTTGTGACGCAAAACCTGACATCTGGGATGATCGGACGCTCAGGCTGTTCGAAGCTGAGTAACAGAGCTGCCTCCGCAGCCGTAACTGCGTTGCCGAGGAGTTCGTGGAGCAGGAGGAGCAGCTCCATGCGGGATGAAAAGTGATTGGTAGTGGAGAGCTTGAACAGATTTGGGAGGGTTTTGGTCTGAAGATATTGAATCCTGCGAAAGCTCGTAATGTGGATGCTGCACATTATCTTTGACCAATGTTTTGTGCGGGCAAAGTAGCGACAAAGACTATTGCGAAAAGTCTCTAATGTTCATCGTGAATCGTCCTCAAAGTCAAAACCTGAAGCAAATCGCAAACGATTAAGGCAGTAGAAGCTTGTAATAAACCGCATTACGAGTGTGATCGTAAACATGGATGCCAGTCGGCGTATGACACTACTTTTGGAAACACTGCGAATCGTTCGAAGCAATCTTCCTTTTCGGTTTGGAGAAAGCGACGAGTCCGAGCTCGTTACTGATTTAGAAGCGAAAGAAGCATTTCGCGCCACAATTAACCGACAAGCTGTAACACAAGCCATCGTTGAGCAGTACGATTCTACCCATATCTACGCGGTGACTTACCTCAGCACCAATCGCCTTTTATGGGTACCATCTTTTGCCATGAGTGGTGGACTCTTGGAGCTGTAAATCCCAACCGGGCAAAACTATTTAGACCTTCGCGTCTATCTTATTAATCCCACCGTAAACAAACCCCGAAAAGGGAAAAATGTGATATCGGGTATAATACTGAAGCGCACTATCAAGAAATACATTATAACACTTTATTCATGTGCGTTGCCGTGCAAAAATCAAGCGCACTA